CCTTTCTTAGGGCTCGCCTCATCATCAAAAATCAGCGGTCAAGGTGCCTCCGCTCCACCATGAACGCACGTGGACCCGCCTGTCCAAAAGCACTGCCCCACAGCTCTTGCCAACTTTGGTGGGTCTTGCTAGATCCGTTGCTCAGGAAAAGACAGAAAACCCACAGATTCTTCGGCTCCATTTGCCCCGCTCTACCACCTTCTCTCTCTCACGTTCCCTCCCCTCCATGGAAACTGGCAGTCTCTCATTATAAAGTATTTTTAAAACTGATTAAAAGAATATACTGTACTGTTTCAGTCTCTCAGATAACATCTTCCACAGCCCACATGCAAAAATCTGCACTCCAACTTCATTTTCCATCTTTTTTTTTTTTTGTTTGGCTTGAGCACTGTGTGCGTGTTTGCGTGAAAGTGTTATTTTTGCTCCTTTAACTAAACCAAGCTACGATCCTGAAAACGCTTAGGATGTACCAAGAAAGAGAAGATCAGGGAGGCCAGAGCCCTCTCCCATGCTCTGAACTACCGAGACATGATCCAGAGCGGGTCAATACGCCGGGCATTGACCCAGGAGGAGGGAGAGGGTCCCCCGTCTAGCACATCTCAACAGGCTGCAAGTGGCTTATCTCAGACTGAGCCCAGACAGAGCCGGCACAGATGACCATATGCGTCCTTCCACACAGATGTCTGTTTAAACATACGCTTAAACAGGATGAGAAGTCCCATGGCAGCTCCCGGCACCGATCCTGCAAAAGCTTTACTTATGCATGCCATTACGTTTACATACTGAGATCAGTCTCTGTTAAGTCAAAGGATATCACAGGCAGCACATCACACATGTGCCTTTTCATTTTAAGGCCCTGATCCCACAGATGTAAGTCGCCCATCCTACCTAAACACGCCCTACTCAACTAGAATTAAACACAGACTTCAGAGCAGCTTGCTGAAGTTATTTCTTATGCATGCTTTTACAATTAACATAATGTCATATCCTGCCAGGATGTAAAAGGTTGTGACTCAGGAATGTTATCTTGGTTTAAAGAAATCAAGCTGACTTGCTTTGCATTTCCCTCCTTCTCCTTTCTTCTCCCTTTCTTCATTTCTAACCCTCTCAGACAAGGGGCACACCCGCACCACTCAGTGCCCTTAGAAAATACGCTGATTAACTTCAGAGCTCAAAAGGTAAACGTTTATCAGCCTTCTCTTGCCCTACCATATAATTAACTATTTCTTCAAACACCCTCCCCACCATTGACACAACACTGGCCTGCAATGAGGCGGCAGAGAGGACTTGATTAGAAGGCGCACGAGAAGAAATGCTCCCAACATCTACCAAATACCAGCCCGCCGTCCTTCCTTTTCTTGCCACCCCGCAATGAAACAACTCACTTCTCCAAAACGCAGCGATTCTTGAGGAAGCGCGGACTGCCCGCCAGCAGCTCACGGGGAAGCTAAGCCTCCTTATCCTTCCCTCTCCCACGCGTGCACGTTTCTCATGCTGAAGTATGTTTTATCCTACAGTCAGTCCCACTGGACTCAGCTTAGCAGCACACAGACGTGAATTTAGTTTAACTGGTACGAAACCCTCTCTGCATGCCGCTTTTGGACTGGTGCTAGAGGACTTCAATTAACTAAATATGTTGGAGGCCACGTAGCGGCAGCAGTTTAATAATGATGTAGGG